GACGGACTGGCCGGCTCACTGCCACAAGGATGCTTTATATATGCAGGGCCTTGAGGGTCGGACTCTAAGATGTATCATCATCTGACCGGCTCTTGTTTTTTCTTATATGCCATTTCTTCGTAAGTACGGAGTGCCGTCGTCGTTGCGTTTCCCGCGACCAGGGGAGCGGCGGTGAGGACTGACCAAAAAGCGGAATGATGCATCATTACTGTCAAGGGGATGCGGCAGTCACCAACGGAGGATTACTTGTGCCGAGGTGCGCCACGCGGCGTTACTTTTAGGTTACTGGCCGTACCATATACCGAAAGCAAAAGAATAGAAAACATACCAGTAGAAAAATGTGAACCAAGAGGGGAGCAAAGAAAATTCGTTTAAAAACCCACGGTAACGTAAATGGCTATCCGTGTCACGAAAATAGTGCTCTTCAGATCGGACAATACAAAGCAAATGTCACATCCCGGTCAATTTCCCAAGCGAAACTGAAAACCAAGACATACCCCAAACTTGGAGGACAACAAGTGAGCAAGTGTTCATTGCGGAGGATGCAAAAGGTTCTTCCGATGCTTTTTTGGTTTGTTTCTTCGTTTCTTCTCTCAATCCTCTCTACCTAAGTCAACCATATTTTTTCGTCAATATTCTTGTAGTTTTGGATAAGATCACCAGCGGATCTTTTTTGAAGAACCAAAACCATGCAAAGAAGACTCCCGAATGGTATGCTAGGCGAATGAACTTGAATTTATTCGCCGGTCTTTTTGACAAAACATGCGATACAATATGGCGTCTTCGCGGCTTCACTTTTCCACCGCCTAGTACCTCCACATCCGTTGTTCGCTTCAGCAGGATTCCTTACAGTGTGCTGCTCCCGCCAATTCATGCGCGTCTTCCGCGCCTTCGTACCGAACTGTTTAGTATCTTTTATTTGGTATCTACGTCGTAAACAGTCAGTCCCATGGAAGCCCTCACCAGCCCTGCACGGAAACGACCGGCCTGGGCTATCATTATCGCGTGGTTGGGGTGCCACCGGCAAGACCTTCTCCGTCAAATACGTCCCGGTGGAAAGGAGAGCAACCGAACAAAACTTGGAAAGGCACGATGGGATAGGAGGAGGCCGGCGGCGCAAAAACAACACTGATGAGAAACTAAATTCGAAATGGACAAGCGCACTTTGCACCAACTACGTCGTATGGCACTCAAGTGCGAACGGGTATGAAAAGAAATCGCCAAAAATAGAATAGAGCCCTCCTCTTCCACCCATGTTCCATGCCTGATTGTCCACTAAAACCTTTTTAGAAAGAGGGGAAACGACGACAGTGAAGAAGGAATGTAAGGGGAAAATGCCATCTTCAATACAAGCTGGAGAGTGCAATTGAAATGACAACCTTCCCTTTGTTTAATAAAAGAAGAAAGATAGGTGAGATGAGCTGAAAAACATAAAATACCTTTGAAGATCGCCCGATGAGGATGATGAGCCTAGGAAGGAAGCAAAAACGGAAACCAGAAACAAGAAAATAACGAAGCTAGAAAATGACAGCTCAGTTGCTCACCGCAACATCTCAACATCTCAGCATCTCCCCTCTTTGTCATGCACGATGCATGCAGCCTGCCAGTCGGGCATGGTATCATGAATTCCTCCATGCCGAGATAGCACTAACACCGTATCAGATTTATCCGTCAGGCGAACAAGAAAAACCATATCACACTAGAATTGGAGTTGTCCACTCCACCTTGGCCGCTACGAAACGGTCGCCATAAGGCACGTCTTGTCCACTGTCTGGTCAACTGAGCTAGACTGGTCCCTCTGTTGTTTATCCGTTTGTGTCTCTTCAGTTTTTGTACTCCGTTCATTTTACTTTTTCTTTTTCTCCCCCCGCCCCTCAAACGTTAGGCCATGATAACTAACCCAAAGATTTGCTAAAGAAATGGCCACAAAGGATAATGTGTCACAAGAGGCGTTGGAGTTGGTGCTAGGCAGGTGTACTTTTGGTGCTTGGCCCTTTTAGCTTTCTGTCTAGAGATTCTTTTGTTTTGTTTCTTTTCTTTTCTTTTTTCCTCACTCCTCCATTTGCCTCTCTTGGCTGTCTTTTGGCTTGGCCGTTCTTCATCTTCATTGGTCAAGTGATTCCTCCTTGGCCTCGAAGTTTGTCTTTTTCTTTGAGAATTCGCCCAGGCGCCTAAAAACCTTTCGATTTCCCCATGGCGTGGTTTTCCACAAAAAAAGTTCGAGGCAAAACAAAACAAAATGGGGCTAAGTGCCAAAGTGACAAAGTAAAACCAAAGAAGAACCTTGCGGTTTTGGCTGCTTCGCCTTGTATTGGACGAGCCTGGCAAGCTTGTAAGCTAATTTTGTGTTCCCCTTCGCCTCTGACTTGTTCCAATTCCAAAGAAAAGCACCATACACGTCGTAGTGGCGACGGCTCCGCGCGGCTCCGCCAAGGCTGGCCGGTGGCACAGAAAGGCAACAAAAAAGTTAAAAAAGAGGAGAACGCTGGATCCAAAAAGAAAATCGAAAAAGAAGCAGAGCCAAATCAAACTAGGAAAGAGGGAAAGGGTACTGTGGACGAGAAAGAAGACGGAGAGAAGAAGGGAGAAGAACAAAAAAGAAAAAAAGAAAAAAAAAAGGCACTCTCGTAACCCCTCGGACGTGGAACATCCCGAGCATCAAACGAACGTCAAAGACGTCCTTTCGTCCATCGTCCCACACCCACAGCCTCAGCCCGTTCCCGCTTTGCCTTCTATCCATGCATCAACGGGTCTAAAATTGTGATGGACTTAGTATGGAGAACGTACCACGTAGTATTTCGCGGCATTATTGGTGCTTCGGTTGCAATATTGAAATACGCCGCCACAGGGACGCCGCCACAGGACGCAGTCACCGAACCCCAAAACGAAAATCGCAGCCAGTCAGCGTCGTCGAGTGACTGTGCTGTGGTCTGTCCTCTGTTCTCTGTACGACGGTTACTGAATCGAGCAGAGCGGCCCGTAGAACGGAATCGCCGCCTGGGACCCATGCCGGATAACAGCCAATCTGGGCGACAGGTGGCCAGTCCTTTTGTTGTTAATTTTTGAATGTATCATGCTTTTTCTTTTTCTGTTTTGGTTCTTGTTTTATGCGACGAACGAGTGGCTTGGCTGTGCATGTCGGTCTAGTTTCTAGAACCCAAATTTTCAGCCTTACCAAAGAGGTACGGCAGATCACTTGCCGTTGGACGTTTACTTTCAATTTTTACTCTTACATCAAGAATGACAGACTAAGGCGCGAGCTACAATACGTCAGGACACCAAACTGTTGCCGTTTTCTTTCGACTTTTGGAGCTGTGGCTGAGTCTAACCGGCGGCGGTTTAGCTACGAACCGTCAGTTTTTGCCACATTCAACTTTTGTAAATCTACCGGCGTGCCGACATCATGGGGAGAGATGTGTGGGACAATTTTTTCTATTTTGTCGTCTTCTTTTTCCCTGAATATCATTCACCGGTTTAGGAAGGCTATAAGGGTCAACGGATGGATCATCACGGCGGTTAACAGACATCGTTACATAGCCGAACTGCCAATGTGCCATTGCTGTTCTCGAGCGTTTCTTTGTCGCCTTTGTGGTGATTTTGCGTTGCAATTGCCTTTTCTCCTGAATATGAAATGGCGATGTTCAGCGGTCGGTCCTTTTCGATTCACTTATACCGTTTTAGGGAGCTGGCATGTACACGAGGCAAGGACAATTGAGGAGTCTGAGCAAGTTTTTCTCTCAAAAATCGAAAATGACTGGACAAGAACGTAGATAATTACAAGAAAACAGAATAAAACGGCCTCTGATTGGAGAGACACAGCAAATGACGCCCCTTGCATGCTGGCACACAGGCGCCAAACAACAGAATAAATCAACATATAAAAGCTTAATTGTCTGGCATCGTACGACACTGGTTTATTGCCATAGCCCTATCGCCACCCGCCGGCGTCAAAACGGCGATCGTTTGTGGGGTCTACAATACAGCCTTGCCAATTGCATGGCGCCAAAAGAACCAAACGGTGTTGAAAATAAGGAGAAGAAAAAAAGAAATGAGTCGCTGTCTTTCTTAGTGCTGTTGCTCGCTTGCGGAGAACAACGGCCGGGCTGCGGCTCTCGGATTTTTTTTTTTTTGGATTTTTTTTTAATTCATGTTATATTTTTTGCTCTCCTTTCTTTGACTCAAAGAAGCAGTGAAGCGCGAGGCGTGCGGCAAAACGTGTCATAGCCTTGTTTGCTAACCGAGTTGACAGCGATGTTTTTTTGCCTTCCTGAATAGGAAGCACCTTGGCGCTTCTCCCTGGGGAATGGCACGATGCAACCGGCACAGTGCCGACTCCATTCCCTGGCACTGTCGCAGCAAGTACCGCCGTGTCGTCTGTTGACATGGGAGGTTCCGCTGGTGCTAACACCCTGTTGGCTGCAGCAAGCAGTCCATCCTAATATGATGACAGGAGTCAGAGACGGGTAGAAGGGAATGCCGCAGAAGGAATGAAGACATGTGAGAAGGAGCCGGAGCCCAGAAGGATGCCAAGCTCAAAGGGCCACAGCAAAAGGGCTCCGTCCAAAGGACCAGCAGAAGGGCCATGCAGGTGCTGGTGACATTGCTTGTTACTTCAATTTCCAAGGACGCAAGCTGGCAGAATCAAGGGGAGACGATGCAACAACAATAATCAGAGTCCCGCGCCGAATGTCCTCGTCGCATCTTGCATCTCTCCGTCGAATTCTGGACTCGTTCAGAATACACTTTGTCGCTTACCGCGTCTACGCGCTCGTATTTCCTACACGCGCAACAAAACACGCCCTATGCGGTCGTTGTATGCAGTATTCTCTTTTTTTGCTGATTCCGTATCCGTATGCCCTAGTCCGGCACTTCAAAATATGTACAGTTATATTGGGTACCGGACGCCAGGCCCTTTTGCAACAAAAACAAAACAAAACAAACTACCCTCAGGCCATACAAAATCAAAGCAGACCAAACGAACCAGACCGTGACCCTTTGCTTCATAACAATGTGTTTTCACATGTGGTACTCGTACTGGTGCTGGTGCTGTCAACATCGCCGACTGTGTCGACTGTCCGCCGCCGGAAGAGCACCTCGCCGTCTGGGTTCGGCGTCTTGGACATCATAATCATCATGGGCTTGGGACGCTCCTCGCCGTTCTTCAGCTTCATGTCAAAGTTGATGAGGTAGTACGAGAGCATCATCTTGAGCTCGTTGCCGGCAAAGAAGCGGCCCGGACAAGCGTGCTTGCCGGCGCCAAAGTTCATGTTGGTGTCGCCCAGGGTGGTAAACTGCCAGCGGCGGCCGTCCTCTTCGGAGCGCTGCCGCAGGCGGAAGAAGCGCAGGGCGTCAAAGGTGTCGGGCTCCGGATAGTGGCGCTCGTCGCGCGAGTAGCCGACCTGGGGCGCGAGGATCTTGGTGCCGCTGGGCAAGCAGGTGCCGTCGGAGAGTGTAATGGGCTGCATGACCTTGCGAATGAAGCCGGCTGAGGTGAAACAAAAAAAAATGCATGGTTAGTGGAGAATCGTCTATGACGATACGAGTTGTAGGTACAAGGACGGGACAGGGACCTACTGATGTTTCCCGAGAATCGTTGCACTTCCTTGATGAAGCTGTCCATCTTCTTGAGGCGCACCATGCTGTCCTTGCGTGCCCATGCCTCGTCGCTGTGCAGCACAGTGAGTGCCTCTTCGCGCAGCTCCCGCTGCACGTCCGGGTAGGCGGCCAGGTCAAACATGCAGTCTGCCAGCAGGTTGTTGGTCGTGTGGATCGACGCCGCGCTCAGCACCAGCTGCAGCTCTGTCTGCGCCCGGAAGTCGCGCCGCTCCGCCGCGGGCAGCGTGTCCAGCAGCCACTGGATCAGGTCGTCGGGCTTCTCGTAGCCGGGGATGTCCATGTCGCGCAGCCGCTCCTCCATGATGGGCTGCAGCATGGCCTTGGCACGGGCAATGTCGTCGCGGATGCGGCGCAGGTCGGATACAAAGAACTGGCCGATCGGCCGCAGCCATGCCGGGATGAACTGCAGCTTCACGACAGCCATGAAGACGTGCATGGCAAAGTTGATGCTGGTGTCCATCCACTCTTCCTTGCGGTTGATGGACGTGCCGACGAAAGCGCGGCCGCTGAGGCGCGCAATGGCCCGGAGGCCGAACGGATGCACCTTGACCGGCGTCCAGTCGTTGCACTCGGGAAATTCGGTGGCCACGACGTACTCAATCTCCTTGCGCAGCTGCGGCACGAGCCGCGCCAGGTTCTGTGTCAGCTTCGTGCGCACGACGGCCGACAGCATGTCGCCATTGTGCCCGAGACTGAATTTGGTGTACTGGCTCAGCATCGCCTCGTTGACGGCTTCGGTGGCGCTGAGAATCTCTTCCGGGAGGCCTTTCAGTTCGGCGATAAACTTGGACGGAATGAGCACCTGCGTGCCTTCCGTGGCCTTGATTTGATAGACTTTGTCGTAGAACTGCAGGTGTTAGGAGGCAGGAGCGAGCGGTCACACTAGGAAAGTGAAAGGGGAAGCGGCGACCGTGTGACACATACTTTATTATAGCTGTCCCGAACAAGGTCTTCGGCGCTGAAGATCCATTTTGTTTTGGCTGCCTTGTAAAAGGGCAGGTTAAGTTTCGGCTTGCGGTGGCCGTGCACGAGGTAGACGGTGAGGAGGACGCATGCGAGGCCGATGTAGTAGCTCAGCCGGCTGGCAAACGGGTCCGACGATGCCGAGACGGACTTGGACACAGACGCCGCAGCCATGCGAGCTGCTGGCGCAATATCGAGCAGCGAGTCGGCCTTGTTGAAGATGTTGTATGTGCTGCGGAGGACGGCCGCTGCCGTGGAGGATGAGTTGGTCATATTGCGGTTGGCGGTGGGGGTAGAGGCGTGAAAGACGAGGATGGCGAGGAGGTTTGGATCGCGTGGATGCCGTCGATAGTCGGTTGATTTGACAAACCAGAAACCACTTTGATATGATGCAATATTATGGGGCTGAGATTAAGGAGAGTACGCCCTTTTCACGATGCAGGTCGAGGTGAAAAGCAGAGAGGTGGTTGGCGAAGCGAGACTGTGGCCATTGAATGACAGCAAAGGCATCCAATGAGGCAAGGGCGAGTTCAAAGAGGAAGACGATGCGATGTCGCGTGTCCTGTTACAGACAGGTGATCGATGTGAGGCTGTGCGGTATCATTGGACTGTGAGAAAGAAGCACGCCGTGACGATTAAGGATTGTGTGGACAGTAATAAGAAGAAAAGCAATAGACGACCAATGGCAACTAGATGAGTGGCGAGAAGGGAGTGTAGAATAAAGGAAGAGATGAGGTGGAAAGAATGCAAACGATTGAGGAGGTGAGAATAAAACAACTCGGGTCAACCGAACAAATCCAAACAAAACAAGCCAGGACTGTCCGAAGAGGAGAAGGGAATGGGTAGAAAGTAAGGAAAGAAGAGAGGTAGGCGGAAGTACGTCAACGGAGGAGAAAAGAAAAGAAGATGGAGAAGGAACGGATAGAAACAAAATAGGGGAAAAGGAAGAAAAAAAGAAGGTAGGAGAAGGGACACAAAGGGAAAAAGGCACGGAAGAGGCCCTTTGCGGCGAGGAATGATGGGCAGGAGGTATGAGATGGATGATAGGCTAGATGTGACCGAAAGCGTAAGGAGAAAAGGCGTTCCGTAGTCAAGAAACCGGAAAGGTGCAGAAACGGCCGTGTCCAGAGTCTGTACGGTAAAGAAGGGAATGTAACGATGTTAGTCACTGTAGAACGTGGACAAACTGAGAGAAAGGAGAACAGAGAATATGGAAAGCTAGTGACAGACAACAAGAAACAAGGTTTACTAGGCACCAGGCCGGACGTCGAGATGGCTCTTGTTTGGCATCGTCCTGCTTTTTTGTTCTATCCTGTCTGAAGCCACTGACGTGCGACGTACCTTTTTGACATAAACGCCAAGCAGGACAGGAGCCGCGGGAGTGTGTTTGGCAGCGGTCCGCGACGAGACTGCGACTCGGCAGTCGAACGGGCCTTTTGGGCCAGTCTGGATGGACCACTGGAGTACGGAGCGTCCACAGAGCTGGAAACCCGAAGCAGAATGCGATACACAATACGATACAAAGCCAGCAAGCCACCTATTACGCCTTTTACGTCCTGCTTTTCCCTGTTTTGGATCTGGCCAAAGCTTCCTTGCCGGGGGGGTCTTTTGGAGCATAAAAATTTAAGGTATGCCATCCAAACAAACAGCGAGCGCCAGAACTTTACACGACACGCAATACTTCTTGAAGCAAAAATACGGCGTACAAGTCACGAAACCCAGCTCTACACCAAAAATAAAATAAAATAAAATAAAAATAAAAATAAAAACCTCTCACCACAAGAGAAGCAAACTGGCCTGCTGCTGGCTCCGTACCCCGAGCCTCCTCGATCTGCGGCGGACCCGCTTTTGCGACGACCTCACGCAAGCCTGAAACATGAGCCACAACAACGACGAGAACATAAACCCTGCTCTACGGAGTAGTTTGTACCTGTTCTCTTTCCACGCCTTATTATTGTCCGCGTCTCTTCTGAAAGAATTGTTCTGTTCGTCGTCTGTAACCCCGTGTTTTCGTTGTTGTCGAGCTTTCAGCCTCTTGTGCTCCTTGTCCTGCTCCGTGGAAAACCAACCCGTTGCCGGCAGTGTGCGTTTCCGAGCAGCAAAACTGCTTGGCAAGAACTGACAACGTACTATGACAACGAAAAGCTGCCTGGGCCCTGAATTAGCACCCGCAAAGGAGAGAGCACAAGATATGCAGATTCTACAACACAAATGTTTGGCCAAGTCTCATCAAAGCGAAGGACCTTCTCTATCGCGAGCGGCTCGTCTTAGCCAAGAAACCAAAAGTACCTGTCTCCAGCAGTGCCCGTTCCCAGACAAGTTATAGAAGAAAAGAAGCCTGTGAAAACTGTTTGCAAGCTTTTCAACCCTGCCTTTGTCTCCTCCGTATTTGAACTCTTGTGCCGCGTTTCCGAATGGTCCACGTTGCCTGTCATTTCTCGTTGGCCAAATTAACCATCTTTTGAGCCTTGTACCTCTGATGCCCTTGATGCGTATTCAGAAAATACACGCCGTCCTATCAATCAAATCGTTGTCTGCTTTCTCATTCCCACATATAAGGTACAACAGAAGCTTGTTTTCCCACTCCTCTATCTACACCACAGAGGACGTATGCTGTGTCAATGTACTCCTCGGAACTCATGTCTGGGTTCCTGCAATAGCCGATTTTCTTTCTACATGCAGTTTAGCCATCTGCGTTGGACTCGGGCGGCGTGGTCGAGACGAGGCATGTTGTTGAGATTGCGTATACGCATCCTGCCTTTGGCCAGAGAAAGTTGCAGCCAAAGAAACATGAAAGCATAAAGCCAAGGCGGGCCTGTCCCAGAACAGTTCATCCACGTTTTATCAAAAAGAGCCATCATGTCAAACAACAGGCTGTCCAACCGAACAACAACTTGTGCAAAAAGCCTCGTATTTTGTTGTACTAAATGGCACGAGTCCCCCGCTAGAGGGCTCGGCCCGCTTTTAGAGCATCGCTCTCCGCTAGCCGCCATTCATGTCGGTGGACACTTGGAAAGAGCGAGATGGAGCAAGTACTGACGAAAAGCCACTGAAGGAACTGGACGTGTCAAATATAAATATTGTTACAGAACAACCCAACAAAGTACTATGGAAAGATAAAAGACGAATGCGCAAGAGCCAAAAGGATAAGTGTAAAAAGCATTTCCCACCAAAAACAACCTGCAAAACGTGCACCCAAAATGTACTCCTAAAATGTGGTAGCCAAAAAGGCTGGGTATAAACGGGGATACAGAAAATAAACTCGGCAATCTCTGCCACGGCCAATATGTGTAGCAGGCCGGATGTCATACGTGCATTTTAGCACCACCGGAACCCGACTCGCCGTGATTCTCGACAATGAACGAGGAGGATGTCGTCGAAGAACAAGACGACAGAGCCTCTGTGACGGGCCCACCAAAGTATGGTTCTGGAACATTCGTGCCATCATGAGCCCAAAAGTGCACCACGTCATTCTGCCATTGTCCAATGTTGATTACACGCAAGATGCCAGAGAACTCCGTGTAAAGAAGCACAGCGGCCATTGGCGACATGCGCAGGCTCTGTAACAGCCATCGGTTGACAAAATCGGCCTTGTTTCCAGACTCAAAGCGAGAAAGAGACGACAAGATGCCGTACTCTTTGACGTAGTCATCGAGAAGCAGTCGGCGTTTCGGGTCGTCCTCGGGCAGGGCGATAACTTTTCGAATAGCGTCTTTTGGGGCCAGTGGGTATTGCTTGATTGCAAGCAGTGGGTCTGTCACCAGCACCGGGAAGCTTGTTGTAACGGGTTTGACATTGGGATGAAGATCTCTCGTCGCGAAGCTTATGGCCATATCATCATCGCCGTCGTATTCGTAGCCGTCGTCGGAATCGACAGGCAATGACTTGGGAGGCAAATCAACGGGAAGAATGGCCTTGCGAACGCACGTTTCTCGTATACTGGCAACCTGCTGCTCGAGGAAGATAATTGCGCCTCGGCGTATCTTTTCCTGCTCGCCAAAGCGCTTCAAAAACTCCCGATCGCTATCGTCCAAATAGCCTGCAAACCTATCCTGAAATAGGTCAGACTTGACAGCTGCTCTTAGGTTCAATTCCAAGTTGTTCAAGTCGGTGTCCTGGTTCCTTCGGCTGCGATCCAACAACAACTGGTTTCCTACGCTCTCCAGAATATCGTCACGTTCACTGACAAGATCTTCGTATTTCTCTCTGGACGTTTTGAGAGCGCTAATCGTTCGGAGAAGGTGAGTGTAAAGGGGGTGCACGTCCCCCGGTCGTTCGCCGGAAATCCCAAGAAGACGTTCATCAGCTGGCACCATTGAATATACCGAGCGAGAGACAGGTGCGGTCTGAACTCGTGGGTCGCTTTCTCTGCCGCTGCTGTTCTGGAAAAGCGTGTGGTTCGACGCGGGTCGAAACGGGATATTCGCCAAAATGGACATCTCCTGTCCAGAAGCATCTGCGACAGACGGAATGCTTTGAAAGAACCGCGACTCTGAGAACTCGAGCTTCATCTGACGTAGGTTCAATTCCGTTTCCAACTTCTCGTACTGCGCCTCCACAGATGCGTACGTATCATGAAGGCTGCGGACCTTTTCAATGAGCAACGCCGATCGAACAGGAGGAAGTGCTTGCCCGGACAGCGAGTGTGAAAGAGCTAGGCGATGAAGGGCGTTGTCGGCCTTGGTTTTTTCGGATCGCAAGCTTTGGATCTGACTGCGAAGCTCCGACATCCTCTTGTGATACCGCCGCACCCCCTGCCTTTGATTGAATAGGTCAGCCCATAGGTTTGAGATGGCGGGGATGGTGTTGGCCTTCTGCGAAAAAGCGATATTAGTGCCCTTGAGCTCGCCATCGCTCATTTGGGGGTGGGCATAGATGTGGTCGTCGTCGTAACGGTAGCCAACGACTGGTAAGAACGCGGCCGGATCGGAGTCAGCTATCGGGCCACTGGAAAAAGCGGGGGATGCCCCAGACCACGTATGTACTGGCGGAAACACCCGCATATCCCGGCGAGCCTTCTGGCCTGGTGAAGAAACGCCAGAGAAGATGTTTGAGTCTTCACTGTCAGAGTAGGCAGCATCGGGAGGGTCGAAGGGCATGAAAGGATCGGGAGGTCGCTCAGCGGGTATATTGCCAAGAGGTAGGTCGGATGGTTTGTCGGAGGACATGGCGAAGGGTATGTGGGAAGGTTCATGGCGGGTTTCGTTTTGAAATTCCGCATAGGGAGTATTTGAAGTGGTGGCAACGGGAAGATGTAGATGTCGTGTGGCCAAGTAACCAACCGTTTGGTTATTTGGCATGTCGCAAGAGGTATCACGACGGTGAAGCGTCCCTTGTACGGCGTTGAGATCGCTCTTGAAGATCGGCTCGCGTTCGTGAAAAGTATATCTTGTGTTTAAGCTTTCAAGATTGTCGGGACTCGACGGCGTCTGTAGTGGTTGGCCTGCTTTTGCTGCCATAGCCTAGCCTTGCCGTCGCCGACCAGCGCCGACGCAATATCGGAAGGAACAAGGCTAGAGTGTATGATAGTGTGACAGTTGGATGGGAGCGGAAGTAGCTCTGGTAAGTAAGGCTGTGAGAATTGTGTCAGGACTCGCGACAGCGGAAAAGTACAAGACCTGCAGAAAGAGCCAGCAGTCATATGAAGTCCTGACGCAGCCATACCCACATGCACCTAGATAGGACACGCAATGCTGGGAGACGGCGCAAGATGCTCAAACCTCACTGACAAGGGCAAACGGAACGTAACAGGTCCAACTCCAAGGGGGGAAAGTAAAGTGCGGCTCTGCCCCCAAACCCCAATGGAACATCATGCCAGTTTGCTCAGGGCGGCAAGCCAATAGTGTTTGGTGTGGCAAAGCGCACAAAACAGGGCGACCACTCACAAGCCTCTCTGCTCGGTTAAAGTGATCAAGTGTTGCCTTGGACGAGCAAATCGGGCGGGATCAAGTCGAAAGCACAACAGCGGTGCGGGGGAAAGGCACTGAAAGTCTGGTGGTCGTGTCAAGAAATAAAGCCGCGTTTGCTGGATTCCGCTCCTTTTTCATTCGACAAAGTCGCAAGTAGCACCTCTCACATATTGACCGACGTCTGTTTTGGAGTTCAGAAGCTGCGTTTATTTGATATTTTGAAAATGGCGACCATCCATATTTTGTTGGGATCGAGAGGCGCTCTTTCCATTCCTAGGGATACTCTGCTCTTACGTTCGCGATAGCACCTTCCGCCAGGTACATGTTGCCCCTTCTTGTATTTTCTTGCCCTCATCAAAATGACTTCTCTTTGGAAGGAACAACCGGCACAATTCAGCCCGTGGGGGAGGAACGACTGACTGGGCAGGAACACTGACCTCCAAGCCGCATCCTCTTGCTGTGCTACTTCTCATAACCTGTCGTTGCCCACACACCACACACCACCTTCCCAAGCCAGCACATCAAGGAGGGCAGGCTGCCCGAGAGTAACAACAACTCTCTATCAAATCAACACAAATCCCTCACGACAATAGAGTTTACAGCCACAATATGCGGCATCCTAGGCCATAAAATTAAAATTGCTACCACACCAGGCAACCTCCGCCCTGTCGTTTTGCACATTGGTTCCTGTGATCCTCTCATTCTTGCACCTTGTTCAATCAACCACCCTCTCAGGCACTGACGCCATGCACAGCAGCCTATGCCACCCACATCACATGTCGATGCTCAAGCATCTGCACAGTCTCACAACTAGGCTGCCTGCCAAAGGGAGAGTACGTCCTGTACCTTACCACGTCTTCGTTACATTCCTCTCCCACTGACTGCGGCCAGGCCGCTTCGTCTTGTGCATTACAAGCGAGCACAAACGCCGTAGTTTTGCACATTTTCATGTCCTGATTCGTATAACAAGCGGTCTGACACTGCCCTCACAGCCTGAAAGCACAAAAGGTCGATGGCCACGAGGCTACGAACTCGTTATGGGTAGAGCTGCAACAGCACTGGAACACTCATATATGACCACTGCTGCTGTATTACCGTCACGCTGTCATTTGTCAACCATTTCTTGTATTTTTCCTGCCTGGTGATCTATGTTCCACTCTACATATTTTGTGATTCATTCCACTTTTATTTTCCCGTCATCTTTAGCTTTCCCAGTATGGAAGAAAGGAGTGAAACAGGCAGACTTGCTGCGACAGCGGCGGAGGGCGAAGGCCATACGCAGGTCGAGAATGTCCTTTCCACCGCCAATATTGCCATCCCACGAACCATCGACAGCAGTGCATTACCATTAGATGAAGAGGTCGACACACTTGCAGAGCTAGCTGGTGGTCTCCATATCACATCAGCCAAGTCGTCCACCGCTCCCAATCCAAGGCAGGAATATCGGGAGAAGAGAGACGAGTCCCACATAAAGGCCACCGACACGTTAAGCTCGCCTCCACTCGCTCTTGGATCTTACGAGCCAGAGGAAAAGCATGAGAGCTTTCAATCGTCTCGTTCCGTATTCGCCAAAGGTCCATACGATTTCCATTCAACACAGGAGCAGACTGAGGTCGATTGGTCGCCGGTGCTCACCCAAAACGCATACGGCCAGCTACAAAGCACGTCATATCATGCAAACAGCGGGCCCTGGCGGACTTGGAACACTCCAGGCCAGGCGGGCACCCGGGAACTGTTGCAAGCTCCTGTATATAACGCCTCTTCCGGCCAGGGGCTCAGCCACGGCCAAAATCAATTCTACTCGAGCCACCGAAATTCAGCTTCAGTCGACGCAAGCTGGATGCAGGGCCAGACTCGCCCTCAAGAACACTACAGAAGGTTTTCAAACGGCTCATATGGACACAGTAAATTTAATGGCACCTTTGGCGGGTACATAGCTCTCAGATCATCGGACACAGGAACTGCGCAGTATCAAAATCGACCGAACCACAGCATCTACAAAGGTCACCCTGCTTCAGGTACACCTATTATTTCTAGCAAAAACTTTAGGCAGTACTTTTTTTTAAATGGCGGCTAACTCACTACTTTCCGAAGATTTTAATCAACCCATCTCATCGTCGACACCCGTTGCATATGGCCAGGCAGCGACAGCCTACAGCAGATGGCAACAGGATTATTCATCAGGGGGAACTCCGCACGGTACGACAACGTGGTGGAACTATTCTTCTTATATGTTTGGTCGAATTATCCGCAAATCCTTTTTGAAAGCCTTACTGATGATGCTTTTAGTAGGATACCAACACGGTGTCGGAACCGGAATTTCAGATGGATATAATTTCCCCAAAAGCAACCTGATGGGCATGGCTTTCACTTTATACCCGCCGTGTCTCATTAACCCCATGATATCATACTGACATTAACTTTGTTCCTAGGTGCTGGCATCGACTCCAGAATCGACGATCTAGCCGAAGGGGAGCTTTCCACAAGGACATCGCAACCAAGTAATACAGTCTATCAAAACTAAGCCTTCGGCGATGTCGTATGCTAATATTCCATATCCAGGACTTGTATCTAATACGTACGCTTTGCCAAAGTCACCAACCGCACCGTTGCCAGGCGCCTGGACCTCATATCAATCCGGGCCTCCTGAGCACCGTCCTGGATTCACCTCCCAAGCAGGACGGAGTACATGTACGATCTCTATCTCTCATTCATAGAAAAGTAGAATACTGACCAGAATGCGCAGTGTATAATGTTCACCCTACAAGGGATTTCACGGAAGGACGGGTAAGTCATTATCTCCAGAGTGGCAGGAAATAATATGACTTGAGCCTTCTAACATATTCGTTTGTCTAGGTTTTCAAAATCGACTGGCCGGAGCCAATGGGTTCCAATGCCGGCAGCACCCTTACATCCGGTAGCGACAACAACGTTTTCCATAAAAAGCGGCGATTTGTCGTTACCTCCACCTTCCACGGACATAGTATTTGCCTGCCCATATTTACCTACGGCAATCGCGGTTGCAACAAAAATGTGAAGGCGCTCCAGCATGGCATCGTGTATAGCCAGGGCCTTGAGCCAAGATTGACACCCGGTGAGCCGGCCCTTGGCTACGATCCCATCATGATGATTCCAACCAGCTCGGAAAAGCTCAGCAGTGTGTCACGAATCAACTACGCCAAACCCCACAGCGTGGAGCACAATACCAAGGTGCATTTTATTGGCCACATTGACGAGAGCCATACCGGCTCGATCCTTCAAAACATGCTCCATGCCATGCAAAATCACAAACTTTGACATTTAAGCACATCGGCCTACTTGGAGGCCGGAAGCCCGGTTAGCTCTCTTAGTACATGTATTCGTCTGGAAAGTATTAATTTTGTACCTCTCGGTATACTCCCGTGTGTATATTTCTTTGCCTGGTGTTATCGACAGGAGTTGAACAGGGGAACAGGGTCCTCGTCTTGCATCGGATTTCATTGCTACGTTTAGATACCATTTGATTTGTTGATTTTTTTGATTTTAAAGGGGGGGGATCGTGATTTTCTCTTTAAAACCTAATTTGTATATCTTTTTCACTTCATTTTTATGGTCAATATCTTGTTCCAAAAAGGCAAGTGTTTGTCATTATTTCTGCTTATCTATTATCCTCCTGTTCATTAGAACACAAGGGTTGCCGAAAATGAGTAATTAGACCATAAACTCAACGATCAGTAGAATATACATGACGACCATTCTAAAATTCCGAACGGGATTTTTTCGTAGCACCACTACATACACAGATAGCAGGCATAACATATAGATGTGTGTATGTGGTAGTCATTGCAACAACGAATGTCTACATCACTATTCGAGTATGAGTACGGGAAACAAGTATTTCAGTTTTCTCAGTTTTTTTTCTTTATTGATTTTGGAAAATAGGGACAAAAAAACTCGCAAGCCCCAATATCCCATCCCACTCCGTACGTCCTGTGCCTCTTGGTTGCCGAAGTGTATCAAAGAAGAAGGACCATAGAAAAAGAGACACAAGCCTCTTTTATATTTTGAACAATGAAAATAAGACCACAGATGCCCGTCCTGTAACAACAGGGACAGAAGCACAGTATAGGGCCAGGAAGAGGAGGGAAGTGAAATGGGTTCCTTCCCCGCCGCTCTTCATCTACGCCCTCTTCGCTTCGTCCACTGCCGTACACAAGGTGTTTGGTTTTCGTTTTTGGTTGCTGGCTCTCGCTTGTCCTGACCTGTCCCAAATGCACGCCAATAACCCCTGAACCTTTTTCAACACCCGTCTCCTTTTTTTCACACAGAAAACGTTTCTTCTACCGTCTACCGCCCCGGTGAAGCATTTATGCCTCAGTCAGGGCGCGGCGGACGCGCTGGCCACGCTGTCTTGAGGACAGGTGGGCAACCGACGAGGCGGTGCTCTCGCCCTTGGCAACGGTCTCCTCAGCCTCGGTCAGGATCAGCTCGATGTGGCAGGGGTTCGACATGTACGGGTTGATCTGAGAATGGTTGTTAGCGGTGGGTTACAAAAAATGGCAGCCGCGTCACATAGCACCGGAAAAGGGACAGAGCACATACGCGACCGTGGGCGCGGTACGTCCGCCGCCGCTGCTTGGGGGCCTGGTTGACCTGGATGTGCTTGACGACCAGGTTGCTGGTGTCGAGACCCTTGGCGTCGGCGTTGGACTCGGCGTTCTTGAGCAGACCGAGCAAGAACTCGGCGGACTTCTTGGGCCAGCGGGCCTTGGAGACACCAAACTGCTTGCCCTGGGCGGTGCGGCCGGTGGAGCCGGCGTACCGGCGCATGGGGACAGCCTCGACCTTCTCCTTGACGTTCTCGAGGAAGGTAACAGCGCGCTGCAGCTTCCAGCCGTTGATGGCCTGGGCGGTCTCGCGGGTGTTCTTGAACGACACGCGCAGGTAGGCGCCGCGCGCGCGGGCCGACTTGGCGGGAGCAATCTCCGTGGCGGCGTAACGAACCTGTAGCGAGACGAAAGAAAACTCCAGTTAGTCTTGCCTCCATGTAAAGAGCAATTCCGCATATTTTGCACATTTGTTTTCCCTCCCATCATAGACCAAATCGCAACCGACTTAGTCTACTGTTGGGATTCAAGCCCGAAACCAGTGCTGCTGCTTGTCCGCCGTCTGCTCTGCGTCTTCTTGTGCTTGCCGTCGTCTCACGTCGGTGGTATGCTTCGTTGTCCGATACGACAATTCAACGATCCGACTTGGGTCACCATCTCGAGTCCTAGCATTCGGCCGTAACTAGTAAACGCAGTGTCATTCCTTCGCACGTCCTTTTCGCAAGCCGGTCCGGTATTCGGATTGAATCAGAAATCCGTCGAGCGTCAACTAGTCCGGGGTTGCGTTGTCGTCGGTAGCATCCTTTCTCGTTGGGCCAATGTCGCTTGTCGAGGCTCGAAAACGTTTCGTCGCGCGAGGTCGAAGAAGAGGCAGAAGCAGGAGGGCAGCCACAAGCAGGCAGTATCGGTCAAGTGCAAGAGTGCCGCATCATGCAAACGTATTCACGACCGACTTACCATCTTGTCTGTTGGGTGGTGAAGACGGTGGGTGGTGGTGTTGATTGTTGATGATGGGAAACGACGAAAATGGGAGAGCGAACTTCTCTGTGTGAAAATCGACACTGGCAATATTTTTTTCTGGCTGGGCCTTTGCGAGGGAAAGAAAGAGTGGGGCCGCACGCTTCGAAATTTTGCACTGGCGGCTCGGTTTAGTAGTCTCACGGGGCAGAGAGTAGAATGTCGAGTAGAATGTCGGCTAGGGTTGGGCTGCCCTACGTGGTGACTGGCAAAAGCAGGAGGAAGATGGGACTAGCTCAAAATCTTTGTCATCCAAATGGACCTGGTGCACGTGACTCATATCATGAATTAGTGGGTTGGTTCCAGATTCTCGGACGGGATAAGCAATATACATTATCCGTGATGGGCCTGTGGTGGCTGGTCGTGATTGGCTACGGCAGAAAAAGGCGGAAACTAAAAATTTTGTACCTTCATTGGATGGCGGACCTAGTAACTTTTTTTTCTTTGGTCTCTATTCTACCTTCGCCGCCTCGCTCTTTTCCCCCTAGCAAAAAGTTTTGCCTTTGACTTTTTTTGTCAATTTGACTTCACCTCTCGCAAGGCAAAAGCAAGGATTCCAATTCGAGCATTTTTCTTTTCCTCTCGTTCTTTTTCCGAGAGCCCTCACGTTTGCAGCGCTCAGCTTGCTGCTCTCTCCTCTCTCTTACTTCTCCCGGACCTCTCGAATACAAGATGGGCTTCGTTCCTCGCGGTGGTGCTCGCGGTGGTGGCCGTGGCGGCTTTGGCGGCGGCGACCGCGGCGGCCGCGGTGGCTTCGGTGGCGGTCGCGGCGGTGCTCGTGGTGGCTTCGGCGGTGCTGGCCGTGGCGGGCCGGGCGGCGCTGGCGGTCGCGGCGGTGGCCGTGGTGGTGCTCGTGGTGCTCCTCGTGGTCGTGGCGGCCGTGGCGGCGGTCGTGGTGGTGCCAGCGGTGCCAGCGGTGGCAAAAAGGTCGTTGTTGTAAGTTGAGATTCCAAGTCCAGCTCGAGCTCAGGATCGAGCTTTTTAAAGGTCGCAAAGGGGCGCATCGTTAACAAGCTGTTTTTTTTCCTGCTCAGGAGCCGCATCGGCACAAGGGTATCTTCGTCGCTCGCGGCGGCAAGGAGGATCTGCTGGCCACTGGCAACTTCGCACCTGGCATCTCGGTTTACGGCGAGAAGCGCATCACTGTCGAGAACACAGCCAAGAACGAGGACGGCACGCCAGCTGGCAAGGTCGAGTACCGCATCTGGAACCCTTTCCGTTCCAAGCTAGCTGCCGGTATTCTGGGTGGTGTCGACAATCTGTTCATCAAGCCCGGTTCCAAGGTCCTTTGTACGTCCCAGCTGCGCTGCGTGTGCACCGAGTATTGAATAGCTCCCTCAACGTCTCTTCTTTTTCGATTTACTAACACATGTACGTCGTCCAGACCTCGGTGCGGCCTCCGGCACGTCCGTCTCCCACGTTTCCGATCTGGTCGGCCCCACCGGCATGGTGTACGCCGTCGAGTTCAGCCACCGTTCCGGCCGTGATCTGATCAACATGGCGTCCAAGCGGCCCAACATCGTCCCCATTGTCCAGGACGCCCGCCACCCGCTCAAGTACCGCTTCCTCGTCCCCATGGTCGACGTCGTCTTCTCCGATGTCGCCCAGCCCGACCAGGCCCGTATCGTCGCCCTCAACTCCAGCATGTTCCTGCGGCAAGGTGGTGGCCTGCTGCTGAGTATCAAGGCCAACTGCATCGACTCGACGGCGGCGCCCGAGGCCGTTTTCGCCAGCGAGGTGCAGAAGCTCAAGGAGTCGCGCTTCTTCCCCAAGGAGCAGCTGACTCTGGAGCCGTACGAGCGTGACCATGCCCTCGTCGCGGCCGTGTACCTGCAGAAGGAGTTCGAGGGTTAAATCTGTGCAGCCCCCCCGTTCATTTGGTTGAATATGAGGTGTGGGTGGTTGCGACAATGAGGCTGTGGACGAGAGGAGAAGAGGAATCCGAGAACGACGGCCGAGGCCCATATGGCGCCCAAGGGCCGTCTGTATGGAAATATCTCGTCCGTTCTCTGTCCATTTGTCTCACGGTTTGCCTCCCTGCCAAAGCGCGCACTCACTCGGCGTATTGTTTCTGCTCGTTTACATGTTGGCTTATATCTGGATTTGGGTCTTTTTTGGATTTGCTTTAGTCACTTTTGCCGCCTGTTGTCATCCCTCTATGTTTTCGTCTTCTTTTTTCGTTATCGTTGCGCTTTGGCACCGTTTCATTGGCACCCACTACCTCGGCTTTTGCATGTCTTTGTTGTCCATTGCAGCAAAAAAGAGGCGCATTCGGCGTTCGTACGGCGTTGATGTTTCTCTTGTATGATATTAATTTTATGTGTTTTTATCTATCTCAATTCTATCGCCTATGCTATGTATGTGCGACTCTTTTCTCGAATCGTATGTGCTAAACTTGTTTCCGGTAGCTGGCTTTCTAAATTTCTTCGTCACATTCGACCTGTTTTTGGAAAAGAAGCATTTCATCCTGCACCCATGGCTGTCATGGTGTCTCTTTCAGCTGTGCACAACATGCTTCCCCTTTGCGATGCGACCTACGCGCTTGACCCCTTTCGTCGTCATTCGCTTGGCGGGGAACGGCGGCTCCAGGCGGCTGTTGGCCTTTTGTTTGTCTATTTCCTTACCCGTAATGCGACAAAGGCGGATCGAAATAAAACAAAGGAAATGCATTTTGTGCCCGTCTAAGGACTAAGCCGATGCATGTTCCAGAAACTCTGCAATTTCCCGAGTCTGGTCGTTTTTCAGCTGGCAAAGGTCGTGTGAGGTTGGTTCGTGACAGGAAGGGTCCACAGCATCTTTGTGCATATATATGCACTCGTCCTGCCCTGTCGACTTGGCTGGAGTTGTCACTGCTCGTGGATCAACGGCTGTACGATATGGTATTCATCATATGATGCTCGACGATTTCGACGAGAAGCGCAACAACTCGATGCCCCGAAGTTACGAACAGCCGCATGACAACGCCATGATGACGATGGCCCGGTTATCAACGCGGTGTTGTCAATTTCCGCCGCAACCGCCGTAAGATGGCCACAACCAGCCAGCGCTTGCGCTCTGTCGCGTCCTCGATGCCCCGGTCGACACTCCATGACCGCTCGCGGTCGTCGCAGTTCCGCTCCCAAATGGCCTCAATCTCCAGGTTGCGCGATGCCAGCTCCTCCTCATTGAAAAACGCGACCACCGAGGCCCGGCCTGTATGAAAACCACCGACGACCCAGCACCGAGCGTCGTCGTCTTGTTTGAGGAACCAATCGATGGACTTGCGCAGGTTGTCGTGCTCCCACGGCATCCACAGGCAGTCGCAGACAAATATACGGTCGAACGAGTGGTGGCCCGTCTTGGCAATGTCTGAGTCGAACTGGCCCCATTCGTGGCCGTCCACTGATACGACAGCCGTGGACGTGGGGTTCTTTGTTGGCAGTGTTGACGTTGTTGGCTCGGTTAATGATGCTGACGCTGCTGACGCTGTTGACACCGAGATTTGCAGAGGCACTCGCGTGACATTCCGCGCCAAGTTCGCCCGCAGGTTTTCGAGCACCACATCGGACGGGTAGTCGGTAACGACCACACGAGTTGCTCCGAGCAAGGCGGCCAAGATGGACGGCAGCGCGGTGCCCGCACCAAGCTCGACACACGAGCGTCCGGCCACGTCAAAGTTGGAGACTGGGTAATGCTCACAGACGACGGGGTCTTCAGCAATGGCCGTGGGCGGGCCCGATCCGGGCAGGCGAGCAATGGTTCTTTGTCGGCCGTACTTGGCTGCATCCTTGGCAACGTCCTGAGCGACGGCCAGCGTGCCCGCCTCGACCAACTTGGCCAGCAGCAGAGACGAGTTCCAGACAAAGTGGCTAAACAGGTTGCGGTCGGCCAGGTCGTCGGGGTCGGTCACGCACAAGTGCAGCGGCTCGGGCAAGTTGGGCGATGTGTAGAGGACGCCATGGTCGGCGTCGCCGTGCTGGTTGATGATGTCGCCTGGGAAGATGACGCTAAGGGCGGAGCACAGATAGTCCTCGGGTTCTTCACCAGGGGCTCCCGTAAGGCTCACGCGATCGACGAGCGACATTTGCTTTGGGGACGGAGGAGAGGGAAAGACACGCCGTTGCTTTTCTTGCGTTCTACTGCCTCCTCCGACCAGGCTGTTTAGTCCTGCTCGTGCAGAAACGAGAAAGCGCTATACAATTTTCTCGCAAGCGGTAGTCGCTACCATGATGGGGCTTGCTGATAGCCATGTCGCTCCTTCCGGTGGGGAATCGGGCGTCACGACGTTGTTTTTTCCACTTTCCGTCAGCGGGGAAAAAATAGGCACTGCTGTAAAGCGGTGCTCGGAATAATTCGCATGAAGACGTGCTCATGCACGCGCTCCGTTGTTTTTTTAGTCTTAACAACGTTGCACAGGAGACAGGCTTTTTTTAAAAGAAACTGCCATTTGATTCGAAAATTAAGCAAGGGTATCGGTATATCAAGCCGCCTTTTTCAAGTTATGTCCCGTGGAAGAGATGGGCGAAGAAGGGACACGGTTTGCTGTAAGGAAAAGCCAGTGAGGAGCGAAGAAAAGAAAAAGAACAGAATCGCGAGCTCCAGAAACAAACAAAAAATCAGGAAAACAGCTATTAGAACACTCCCGAAAAAAAAGGATTGTATAGTAGTAGAAACCCAGAAACCATTCGTAAATCCCAGCATCAAGTCATTAAGCCCAGTAATATATAAGTGCCTCAAGAGTGGGGTCATCTCTTGGGCGCAGAAATAAGAGAAATACGCGGAGAAGGTACAGAGGGGATGCTGAAAGGCTCAAAGGAAGAAAAGCACCCCTCAGATGCCGGCCTGCATCTGTTTGATCTGCTCGGCGGTCGGGTCGTCGGAGATCCAGGGACCCTTCTCCTCGTCAGTGGCCGTGAGGAAGCCCTCGGCACGCTTGAGGGTCTGGACATCCAGATCGGTCACGTACGCCTTGCCGTCCGACAGCTTGAGGCGCACCTCGTGCTCGGTCGACAGCATCATGTCGTCCTTGGCCAGGCGGCGGGGGCCCTCGAACACGGTCATGACACGCTTGCGCATGGTCATCTGGCCCTTGTCGAAACCCCAGGACGTCGGGTAGTTCTGCCGGCTACGGCGGGACCGTGGCTTGCCGGTGACAGGGACGCCGCCACGCGAGTGCGTGAGGCCGCGCGACTTTTGCACCCCGTTGGCAGGGCCCGTCTTGGTCTTCTTGGGCGAGCCAGACACGCCGCGGAACGAGCCGTCCTTGGGGCTCTCGTCGTCGCCAGCAGCGTCCTCCTCGTCCAAGTCATCCTCGTCCTCGTCGCCGCCGCGCGTCGAGTCGGCGGCCGCAGTCGAGAAGACCTGGTTCTTTTCCAGCGTTGCCTGCACCTCGCGGTCGTTCTCGACCTCGGCGAGACGTGAGGCGTTGACCGCCTCGGCCGGGTCTTCTTGCTGCACAATGCGCAGCACACAGTCGTCCAAGTGCTCGTAAAAGTCCTGCGCATTGGAGAAGGTCTGGGAGCACGTGCTGCACTTGCCAGTGGCGTCGGGCGCGTAGGTTGACAGCTTCTGGGGGTTGGCACTGCTGGAGCCGGCAGGTCGCTTGCGGCTGTTGGGCGGGTTCTGCTCCACGCCGTGCACCGAGGTCAAGTGCCGCTTGAAGACGTCGGCACGGTTGAACGACTTCTCGGCGGGCGAGCCGGAACCGGGGCAGAAGCCACAGACCATAGTGCCCTTGTAGTGGGTGAGGGTGTGGCGGTTCTTGTCGTACTTGCGGGCGAAGCCCTTGATGTTGTACTCGCAAGTCTGGATGGGGCACTTTTCCGGGCGTTCCGTCAGATGCGTGAGCATGTGTGCCTTGAGGTCCTTGAAGCGGCGGCCGCAGGTGGGATCCGGGCACTTCTCCTTGCTCTCGCTGTCAGACGAGGTGGGGTCAGCCGAAAATCCAGAAAAGGAGCTTCGGCTATCCTGGCTGCCACGGCTGGCCTGGCTGCGCTTGTCGTCCATGGGGGTGGGCGTGAGGTAGGGGCTGCTGAATTGAGGGTAGGCGCCGGTGCCCGTGGCGTAGGGCGAGATGGCGTCGGCTTTGAGCTCCGGCGAGCGTCTGGGCGAAGCTGCGTAGGCGGTCGGGTTGGGTTGCTGCATTTGCGGGTAGGCGTCGAGGGTCGGGATGCCCATTGTGCGGACTTGAGACTGAAGTATGGTTGGATCTGCTATAGAAAAAGAGCGCGGAGATAAAAGAGTTAGCTAGGATCCCCCGTAGTCTGACAAGGCATTTTTGGCCTGAAATTTTTTTTACTGCCGAAAACCTATCAACTGCGAAAAAAGAACAACGATTTGATGAGGCTTTTTCTCCTTTCTTTTCTTCGTCCTTTTCCTTTTCTTTTCCCTCATTATGTTTCATATTTTGGGGTGTGGTACAACTGTCGTCCGCATCGTACATAGGTTACGTACCAATAAACGACTTTGGCTGGGGGTACTCAAAGTGCGCAAACTCGTCCATGTGGCTGTTGGTGTAGCTGTACTCGCCAGGGCCAAAGAAGTCGCCTTGGCTCATAATGTTTGGGCTGACGCTGAGAACCTGTGGTGCCGGCCACTCGGGCACGCTTGTCGGGACGTCGTTGTGCGAACGGGGCGAGCCGACTGCGGACGAAGGCGCGGACGGGCCGGAGGCCGTCGACAGGCTGGATGAAGAGATGCGCATTTCGGAGTCCTCGTAGTACATTGTTGGTGACATGTGGTCACCGAACATGCTCGTGAAAGGCAGATCAGTGGTGTAGAGGATGTTGTTGCTGCCGTCGTCGAAGGGTCCGGATGCTGGCGTGAGGAGAGTCTGCTGCGATCTGGGAAAGAACCGGCTGGGTGACATATGCTGGTTGGTGTTCAGAGAAGATGAAGGAAAGACGCCCTGAAGAGGCTCGGGATAGAGCGTGTTATAGTCGTCGGGGCCGTTGCTCATATTGTCGACAGGGAAGGAGAGAAAGGGGGAAATAAGAGAAGTAGAGTTCAGAAATAAGAGGCGCAGACTCCTCCAAAATACCGTTGAGAGCAAGAGAGGGAGCTAGTGGTGGCAAGAATGCCAGAGAGGAGGAACAGAGTGCCAATAGGTGTGCTGGGAGTGTGAGACCTGTCGAGTTGAGATGCTGTGGGATGTCTCATAAAAGTAGAGCAGCGGCTGGAAACTGCTAGTGATTGTCAACGAGATGACCCTAAAGACGTGTTTGTTAGAGTGCGTCTCTCGAGATCAACATTGTCCTAGGCTAGAAGAAGAAGAAGAACGCGGGAACAGCGCCCGGCGTGCTCGGCGTGGTGTGGATTTTGCATTTCTTGAGAGATTGTAACTTACACAAAAGTTGTATTGCTTGTGTGAAGAGCCTTGGTGAAATGAAGTCGAATTAGGTAAATCCAGGAGGATTGGTCAATTAGATGTTGTTTGTAAAATATGTCAAGTGTGGTCGAAAGCTTTGGCAGAGACCGTGAAGGCGAGTCCGGGAAACGAGGGTGAGGAGCAACTTGTATGAAGAAGTGAGTGGAAGTCAACAAGACGCAGAGGCAGTCAGCAACAGCATATGTTCAAGAATTGGAATGAAGACGAGAACAAGTGGGAAGCGGCCGTCCGGTTTGGGATGTGGGAATATGGGGCAGTCGACGAGAGATATATACTCAGATGCTCCACGCTCTCTGTGTTTGCCTTTGATAGAACATAAAAAAAATGGCCGTCGCTGGTCCTGCACAAGACGCAGTCCCGCGAGGATCTCTGGTCTGTGTTGAATAGGGCAGAGACGAAAGAAGCCAAAGAAAGAGGCTTGGACATGGGTATCCGGTAGGCAGGGGGGGGGCGTGAAAGACTTGGAGATGCGGGTGTGTGGGGGTGTGCACAAAAGACAACCCAAGAAAATAAGACAACAGGAGAGTACACTGGTACCAAGACCAGTGACAAGGCGCCATGTACTCCGTACTGTCGTACCTTAGTTCTGTGTCCCCCCCTGTGGGCTCCCTGGTCGAGTCTGAACCCCAACGTGCACCCGTGTCGTTTACCTTTTTCTTTCATTCTTTCCAGGTTTTCCGAGTTTTCTGAATCAAAAGAGTGGATAGCAGGGCCTGCTTCCTTTTTCCTACGTCTTTCTTCCCCAGTGGGTATGCTTGGCGGGCTTTCTTTTCCTTCCTTCCCTTCCTCCCTTCCTTGTTACTGAAAGTGGGAGAGGCGTGTGAGATGCGACTGGCGTGCCAAACTCTCATTGCCAGTGCCGCCGGCATTTTGGCATCGTTGACGAGGCTAAATGACAGTATGCTGCGTCGAGGCCGTGCCCTGGCCAGGCCAGTTCTGGCCGGTCCTGTCCCACTCGGAGACCTGTTGGCGATGCAGTCTTGGGGTGGAAATGCGACCATTCCTAGTCTGGAGCAGAGAAGCGAAAAACACGGCAGCGGAAAGGACCCTACTAATGTGGCCCTGGGGCTGGCGGATCATAATGAGCTGCGTTAATAACGTTATTTTCGCGGGAAGAAACTGAGATACCGTAAGCCTCTTTGGAGGAACATTCCGCGCTGGCCAGCCAGGCCCCTTCTGAGAAGGCACTCTCAGGCTGCTGCCCACCGCCTGTGCAGGCTTTGTAAACAGCAAAACGTCGTAAGAGATGGAAAGCGAGAATGGGGTTACAGACTGGTCAGGGGGCGGCTGAAGTTGTGCTGGTGGTGTCAGCATCACTTTATTGTTTGTGTTGATTTTTACGGCTCTCATCTCTCATGGCAGTCGACCCAGGGCGCATTTCAGTGCCCCTTCCCAGTTTGGCTCTAACCACAGTATCTTGTGTCTCAGACGAAGGAGCAGGAAAGAACTATCACGGCTCGGAAATCGCAGCTACGGAAGGAGCTATTTGCAAGTAATTTTCCGTCGTTTTTATGTTTCGTTTCTAATTTCAGTCGGAATCCAGTGACAACAATAAGAAATGAAAATTGGCCAATAAAACGACTGGCCGCAGAGTGCACAGCTTGTGAAGTGAGAAGAGGATTTCGTACGAGATGCGAGAAGTACTCCGTGCTGTCTTGATCCGTTTGGGGGGCATTTGTGCCGTGTATTACTCCTTAATCAACCGAGGCCCCGGGCAGTTCCTAAGTTGCAGTCCAACTCTGAACTGGCAGGTATTGCCAGATTGGTGGTCGTCAGTCTCATGTGTGTCTGTATGCCTGTCTGTTCCTGTCTGTCTGTGTGTTAGTCGGCCGCTCGTAAATGGTACCAATGGGAGCCAGCGCCGGGGCGTGTAATGGAACGCAACAAGGTCGCGCCTTCCCCACGGAAGAAGGACGAAGAGCCGCCTGCTCTTTCCCCGTCGCAATATTGCCTGTTTCCTGCTGAGCCACTCCGCCCTCACACTTTGAGGTTGCACCACAGGTCAGTTTGGGTGTCTCTCAGCGCGCGCTTTCCGTCCGTCTTGCCGCACTTCTCACCTCGGTATTTTTTTCGGTGGTGCCTATGCACTGCAAAAGGTATTGACACCCCCAACTTCCGCGCTTATGCCTCTGAAGCGGAGTTGCAGTCGGCTCCCTCCTTTTTTCTCCCTTCTTTTCGATGCTCTGTCATTCGCCTCACGCCTATTTCGTAGTGGAAAGCAGTACATGTACTATTTTCGTGTCCATATCGCGCTAGCCCTGGCGTTTCTAGATTGGAAGCTCACGGCCAGAAACTGCCAGCAGGCGACGCAGAAAACGCCCAAATGGTCCCGCAATCACAAAAAAGGGAAAAAAGGGCAATCTACAGAATTGTTTGCCGGGTAACATTATGTTGCCCGCCTTAGGAGCTCAAAGGCCATAAGAGATGTGAAAGTGCATGCCTTCGGGGAAATTTGAAAAAAAAGAAGAAGAAGAAAAAGAAAAAGATAAAGAAAAAAAAAAAAAAAAGAAAAAGAAAGAAAGAAAGAAATCGGGAGGATCGACTCAAGGACATTACCGAAAACAACTTTTAAAATATGGTGGAGGCTCAATGGCCGCGGGGCTGTGACCCAAGAGGTGTGTGTGAACGCTGTTGTGTGCCACCGACACCTCTATTTTTAATACACATATGACGTACGACCTACGTCGTACCTTTTTGCTCGTGACAGTTGTGTCGATAGTTAGGGGTGAGTTGACAAGTCTAGTTCCGTACTAAGAAACCACATAGCAACGACAGCAGACAAGACCCGGGACGCTTGGTTCCCTCTCCCCAAACCCCCAAATAAAAACAGCCAATAATACTTGATGGTCGGCCACTGGTTCTCAACTCCACGAAGCACAGCCTTACAGGCTTCGTAGGTTTGGACTAATATCCGCCCTCCCTAAGAAGTTCAAAGGTATCACCTCGGCTCAACTTCGTACTTTTCATCTCCATATGATCTGTGGACAATGACCTCTCAGTGTCCAGGGGGTCTCTCGAGCTAGACCGCACCAGAATGTGAGGAGTCATCTCGTCTGCTCATCCCATCAACCCGACCGTCGACCATCGCTCACTTCCAGCCAAGAAATACGACCTGCTCGTATCACCGGCAACAGCACATATGGCGAGGAAACAGTCGGCAACACGGAGATGAAAAAGCAGGGCATCTCAATAACTCGAAAGAACATATTACAAAAGAAAAGAAAAGCAAAACAAACAGGGTTGCAAAGCAACCTCACGGATCATAAAAGTAATTTCGCGATACGGAAATTGTCGTTGGCCCCCGTCCCGTATCTCGTCTTCCCGTCCGTCTGGGTCGTGTCGATGCCGATACTTTTTGTTTGCTTTCGAGGTTGTTTTCCCACCCTGTGTCTGATTTTCTCATTTTCTGGTTACTGATTTTCGTGATCCCGCGATGTCACCTGGCCTTGTCGTTTTAGCCCTGTCCCAAGGCTCCAGTCGCCGACCTGCTGGGCCCGGCCGCTTGCCAATTTCTGTAGTTTCTTTTTTCTTTTGTCTTCTCATCACAGTCTGATTTTGAATTAGATCGTCTCCGAACCATGTTTTCATCTCGCATCAAATCCCACTGTCCCAATAACATTATCACATTATTTCCTTATGAGAACCGTTCCCCCCCTCTGCCCCGACCAAAACTGGGGGTTTACTTTCTCTGCCCTTGTCTCGGGATGTTCGTTTGCCGTGTCGATCGACTGCGTACATGTATCTCTATGTTCCGGGAAGACCAGACTCTTGGCCCCAGCTAGGTTCCCATTACATACATCCTTTGCTCCATCGATGGTACTGGCAGTAGTCATAGACGACAAAAGGATGAAGCATTTGTGTTTTCTTTCTATATCCATGAAAAAACCTCTCTAAGTTTCCAAAAGCAATGCTTGCCCATCACAACGACCCGATATCAGCATCTCAGTCTATTGTTTTTGTTACTGTTGTCGCTGTTGTTTTTTACAGGTGTTGTTTTTGTTGTTTGCAGAACATTTCAAGGCTGTGCGCAGCCCCGTCGGCTCTGTCCTTTTCCGCCCAGCCCTCCTCCACAAGTGATGTTACAGTGACAGTAAATCATCCTCGAAAATCATCCCCGAAAATCATCCCCTAAAACTCTTCTTTATTCCAAATACCTGTCCCAGTTCCGGTCATATTTTGATTTACAGGCATCGTTTACCCAATCTGCATTTAACAGAGTGCATCTCATAGAAACGGGATTATTCACTTTCCAACTTGATGCTCTCGGCGCCTGTCTCATTTGCATCGCTCGCACCTTTTCATCTTACCGTCGTATATTGAAAACAAACAGGCGTAAAAAAGCCCAGTGACAGTCTTGACGGGTTACCAGTGCACGAAACACAGCACGGTAGGGAAAGTACCGTGCATGTGGGAAAGTTAAGAGTACCGCAAGATAAGAAGGCTGTTCATTGCTTGCTTTTTTGAGTGTGAACGCGTTCCGTCATGCGAGATGAGGGTTCTGTACATCGTTGCCCGATAGAGAATGGGCTTCATAAATTCAATCTAAAGTCACAAAAAAAGTACAATGATTTCCACGCGAACAGGGGGACTCCGCCGGATACTATGGTAGCTTTCGCCTGATGATGCTCCCATGACGCATGGTAAGATCCGTCGATCCGCAAACTCCTCAACTTCCAGATAGTTTTTGTTTTAAAAAATCGCAACGAAGAAGGCCAGCGATTCCTTATTCCTTGTGATGGATACTTGTCTGATATTGTGCTCGGCCAGTTGGGCAAACATCTGGGTTACTGGGGAAGCCAGGCTTTGTGGCGCAAGAACATACCCAAATCAGTAACGTGGCACTTTCACAATTGAGGAGATATGGCATGAGGAGAAGAGAAGAGGGGAAGACGACAGCGACTTTGGGGATGAGTCGGCCAAACAACAACCCGTAATCCGACGGGAATCCGGAAAGGATGTAAATATGACAAGACGCAAGATGCTAGCCCCGTGGCTTTTTGTCCTTGCTTCTCTTGCCGCGGCCCAATGCTTGTGTTTTCCGTCAACCTTAGGAGCACTCCAGCATCTTTTCACAAATCTGTTTTTCTCATCCAACCAAAAAAGCAGGCATCTCCTCTGTTGCCGCCTACCCTGCACAACCTAGAAAACCCCTGTCGTTGTTTGATTACTTTCCGATGCCCACTAGTCTACGGGCCCAGATGCCCGGGATTTTCTGATGGGATGAAATCAAAAAGAAACAAAAAGGAGACTTGAAAAAAACTTGCTATCCCCTGTTCATTTTGTACTTACACGCGAAAGCACGCAGCTAGCAGGAGTAGTACGAAAGCTCGCATTCATCGGAAAGAGACGAGGCAGGTCGGTGCCCCATGCCAGAAACAAAGAGTGAGATTTGTGTAATTGTGTACGTCGTAATCGTAAAATAACATTCTGACATTGTCTTGTCCACATACAGAATACACAATGTCCATTCCCCTATCAGGCCTAGTTCTTTCATACCGAAAAGCTTTCCCTTCCCTTCCCCTGTTCTTTTTTTTTCCCTTGTCCAAAAACCAACGCCATCACTCAGGAACGACACCAAAAGTACTGAGGATTTTGCAAGGCCGAGACGGAGTGCTGTGATTGGCTCAAGAACGACGGCCGAAGCTCCGTTCCCTATTTTCTCTCCCGTCCCCCTGTCCCCTCTCCAGGGTCCTGGTCGTAATACCTTCTTTCCCTTTAGTTTGTCAATCACACGCCCCAACCGTTTCTAAGCATTTTTGCGCGGGGATGCTGGCCTCGGTCTTGCCGTTATGTTTGCCGTGTCCACGCACAGAGATACCGCTGTTATTTTAGGGACAAAAACAGGCCACAATCCAGTGGGACAAAAAGTGAGGACACACCACGCAATGTGCACACATGCCACGCTCCCCGATCTTCGTTAGTAGGCCTAAGCTGAGAATCTCGCGCTGTAACTTACTTGTGCGCCGAAATATACAGCACGCGAGCTTCGTCGAGAATGAAACCCTGTTTGCAAAAGGGCAGCATTCATTCTTACTGCGTGCCAAGCGCTGAGAATCAGGACAGACATCTTGACAAAATAAGGCCGTATGCAACGACAAAGGAGACGCAGTTAAGAGGATGTTGTCAGTCCGCAGATGGGTGCTAGCAAAGGGCGCACCAGCCTTTCGCCGCCCCTGCTGACTGGAATGAAAATTGACTGTGACCTCCGGGATTGGCTATCAGCACGCCGGACACGGCGAACTCAAGTCTGACGTGATGGTGTTCAGGCTTGTGCTTCTGAAACGATATTCTTTTAATCCACTCGTCTTACAAGC